CAGGCACACACCACAATACCTGGCTATATGTTTTTAGTTGTCCAGCTAATTTCTTTCTACTTTTAGTAGAGACGGGTTCTTGCTCTTGCTCAGGCTGGTCTCAAACTCCTGAGCTCAAACGATCCACCCACCTAGGCCTCCCAGAGTGTTAGGTTTACAGGCGTGAGCCACCATGCCCTGCCCTCCTAGTTAGTGTCTGTTTCATCATTCATCATTCTATTTTATTCATAATTTTATCACAGTGCATTATGTTGCTTATTCATTTGTTTACTTATTTACTTATTATCCTCCCTATAGAAACCTAAGATCCACAAGGCCAACACCTTTTATTTTTATTCATTATTGTACCTGACTAGCATAAATGCTGGCACATAGGTGGTTTCAAACCTTTGCTGAGCAAGTGAAAAGGCAGCAGAGAGCTCCTCCCCGTGGACGCTTGCTCGGCTGGAACTGCGACATTACTCCTGCCCTTGGCCTTTTGCATTTGGAAGGTGTGGAGTCCTGTACAGGTGACTGCATTTTATTGTTCAGGAAGGGTGGCCAGTTTCAGCTTGAGATGTGCAAGTTTCATAAAAAGAAGCTGACAGGTGGTGGGGTGTAAGAGAAATGCATTTGTGTAGGCAACAGGTTTCTCAGGCCAAACTAAAATGATTGCCAGCGTGTCTTTCTGGGGAGGCGTGAGTCAGCACGCTTATGCAACCAAGGTGTTATCTCCTGTGTGAACCCATGTGATCATGCTTTCCCATGGCGTGTTGCCACTATTGTTCTGAGACATATAAAAGCACTTGTTCTTCCTGCTGCTGCGAGCCCCCCGACCCCCGACAGTAAAGAGCACGTCTCATCTGCCCATGGTTTCACATCTCTTCTTTCAACTCGCTGGCCACAGAGCCCACTCCCCATGTCGGGTTCCTCGGGAGAATTCAGAGAACTAATGGGGCCCTGGGAGAAGACAGGGGAAGGGAAAACGGGCACGGCTCAGACAGAGGTCCTCATCGTCTCTATCGTGTCAGTTGCCTAATTCGAGGCTGATTTTTGCGGCCCAGGAGGTGTCTGGGCAAGCGATCAGGGGAGACCGATTGTTGCAAATGAGCACGATGCCGGTGCCCAGGGCAGTGGCTGGAGAGGAGGACACAGTGAGCGCCACATTCCAGGGTCAACTGGCCCAGGCAGGTTGCCACTCTGCACAGCATGCCACTTAATGGTCACAGCTGAAGATGACACCTGCTCTTTCCCTGGGGTATGTTGTGAGTCAGAGACGCAAGTTGGCACAGCTGCTCCTCTGCAGGGCGTTATCATTCCCCGCTGCAGCCAGATATATCCCCCCTGCCCCTCCACACTTGTCAATAGCCAAAGGTATTAATATTAATTCCGTCTCCAAACTCTCTTTCGACTGCGGCTTTCTTTTCTCCTTCTCTTTTGCTCGAGACCAGGCTCTCATCTTTTTTTGCCTAAATGATTGCAAGAGCCTCCTGAGGGTTTATTCCAAATCAGATTTGATTGCTTCTATCTTATTTTTCACGTTTCAGTCAGCGTGATCTCAATCAAATCCGTCCCCAGATTAAATTCTTCAGTGGATATTCCACCACAGTGCCATTGTTCAAAGAGCCCCATCTTTCTCTTTCCTTAACCCCATCTTATTACGAATACTTTCTCCCCTTCTCTCAACTCTTAAGATTTTTCCTTATTTTTCCAGTTCCTAGAACTTATAGTGCTTTGTTTTTTTTTATATTAGTTCTTTTGCATTGCAGTTCAATTTGCCTAGAACACAATTAATTTATGTATATTGTTTTTCTATTTTGAGAGCTTGTTAAGCTCACTTTTATTTCTATTAGCTTTTTCTAATTTTTATTTATTTTTTATTTTTTTGAGACAGAGTCTCACTCTGTTGTCTGGGCTAGAGTGCCGTGGCATCAGCCTAGCTCACAGCAACCTCAAACTCCTGGGTTCAAGCGATCCTGCTGACTCAGCCTCCCGAGTAGCTGGGACTACAGGCATGCACCACCAGGCCTGGCTAATTTTTTCTATATATTTTTTATAGTTTAGTTTTATAGTTTTATAGTTTTAATTTTTAGTTGTCCAGCTAATTTCTTTCTATTTTTAGGAGAGGCGGGTTCTCACTCTTGCTCAGGCTGGTTTCGAACTCCCGACCTTGAGTGATCCACCCGCCTCAGCCTTCCAGAGTGCTAGGGTTACAGGTGTGAGTCAACGCGCCCGGCTCTATTAGCTTTTTTAAAAAAAGATTCAACAGTAATTTCCATATAGTTAACCATGTTGCCTGCAAAAAAGGACAGTTTTACTTCTTGCTTTCTAAACTGTATGTCTTTACTTCTTTTCCTTGCCTTATTGTTCCAGGTAGAATCTCCAGGGCATTGCTTAATAAAGGTGGGGAGGGTAGACAGTCTTCCTGATCTTAGGGGAAAAGGATTCAGTCTTTCACCTTTAAGTGATATTTGACTGTATGTTTTTTATAGATGCCCTTTATCAGGTTGAGAAAATTGCATTCTATTCTTAGCTTGTTAAAAATTGTTATCCTGAGTGGATATTGAATTTTTTCAAATTTTTTTAATGCAACTATTAGGATAATCATATGATTTCTACCTTTTACATGGACCGATTTTCAAAGGCTGAACGAACTTTAGATTCCAGGATAAACTTTACTTGGTTATTCTTTTCATATATTTCCAGATTTGATTTATTAATATATGAGTAAGGATTTTGCATCTGTGTTGATGACGGATAATGATATGCACTTTTACTGTAATATCTTTGTCTGGTTTTACTATCAGGTTAATTTTGGCTTGATAAATTCAGTTGTGAAGTGTTTCATCTTCTATCTTCTGTAAAATTTTGTGTAGAATTGATGTTATTTCTTGTTTAAATGTTTCATTGCTTTTACCATTGAAGTCATCTGGGCCTAGACATTTTTCTTTGGGAAGGTTTGCAGCTATAAATTTAATATCTTTAGTGGGTATAGGGACATTCAGGTTATCAACTTCTTGAATGAGTTTTGGCAGTTTTAATTTTTAAAGGAATTTGTCCATTTCAAGTAAGTTATTAAATTTATTAGAATAAAGTTATTCCCAATATTTCTTTATCATGTCACTAGGATCTATAGTGATGTCTCCCTCTTTCATTTCTGATATTTGTAAGTTGTGTAATTTTGTCCCTCTCTTAAGTCTGACTAGATGTCTATAGATTTTATTAAACTTGAAAGAAACAGCTTTTGGTTTTATTAGTTTTCTGTATTGTTTTTATGTTTTCTATTTCATTGATTTCTACACTATTATTATTTCCTTTCTTCTATTTGCCTTGGGTTTAATTTCCTCTTCTTTTTCTATGTAGTTTCTTTTTTCTTTTCTTTTTTTTTTTTGAGACAGAGTCTTGCTCTGTTGTGTGGACTCGAGTGCCGTGGCATCAGCCTAGCTCACAGCAACCTCAAACTCCTGGGCTCAAGCGATCCTACTGCCTCAGCCTCCCGAGTAGCTGGGACTACAGGCATGTGCCACCATGCCCGGCTCATTTTTTCTATATATATTAGTTGGCCAATTAATTTCTTTCTATTTATAGTAGAGATGGGGTCTTGCTTTTGCTTAGGCTGGTTTTGAACTCCTGACCTCGAGCTATCTGCCTGCCTCAGCCTCCCAGAGTGCTAGGATTACAGGTGTGAGCCACCGCGCCTGGCCTCAAAGATCTTTTACTTATACTAATTTATTATATTCACCATAACTCTGTAGGGTAGGATAGGATAGGCCTAACCTTCTGTGTCTTTATATTTAAAGTGAGTTTCTTCTTGTAGACTGTAGTGAATTGTTTTAAAAATTCAATCTGACAATCTCTACCTTTTAACCATTTAAACCATTTACATTTAACATAATTATATCATTTGACTTGAATGCATTGTCTTGCTACTTGTTTTCTATTTGTGTCAACTGCTCATTTTTCCTTTTTTTCTTTTCTGACTTCCTTTGCATTGAGTATTTTTTCTGGTTTCATTTTGTCTTCATTAGGCTTATAGTACTTAATTTTCCTTTTTATTTTAGTGATTGCTCTAGGGTGATTTTCTTTTTATCTTTTAACAGTCTTTTTTCAAATATTATACTATTTCATATACTGTATGAAAATGTTACAATAATATATTCACTTTAACTCCCTTTCCTTTGTGCTACTGTTATATATTTTATATGTTTTATATTTGCTTCTATATATGCTATAAATTCCACAATAATTTTTATTATCAATAGTCAATTATGTTTTTTAAAACAACTTTGTTGAAATATAATTGACACAAAATAAAATACTGATATTTAAAGCATATGATTTACCTACTAAGTTTTGACATAAATATATACCTGTGAAACCAACACCACTTAAGATAATGAACACATTCATCCCTCCTATAAGTTTTCTTTTGCTCCTTTGTAATCTCTTCCTTCTCCCCTGGGAACCCCCATTGAGATCATATGATTTTTTTAATAGCCTGTTTATATGATGAATGACAACTTAAATTCTCTAGTTTTTTGTTGTGGTTATTTCCCTGGCCTTGGGTAGTTTTCTCACATGCATGTGCCTATCAGTATTCAACCGAATACTTGATAGGATCTTCTAGAGATATATGGAATTCTTTTTTTACTTTGGTTATTTTTTGCTGTCCAGGATTCTGCCCTGCAAACTCTAACGACCTTGGCCTTCCTGGACACCCGGCACCATCTCCCCATTTCAGCGACATTACTAGGCTCTGCTTGGATTTTCCCTCCCTACACTGTAACCTGTGAACTGAAGGTTCTCAGTGTACCAGTAGCAAGGTTCACATTCACATAAAGTTGGGAGAGTTTTCTGGTAGATGCGATGAGGATAGCTGGGACACACAGGCATCCAAGAGAGGTGGGACAGTGGATTGGGAAGGGGCGGTTGTTACAAGGTCATATGATAGTTATTTGGGAAAGGGAGATCAAGTCATATGTATAAACTTTAGTGAAGCAGGCAAATAATGAGAAGCTGAATTAAGGAAAGGAAATTAACATTTATTGAGTATGATCCTGGCTGCACAGGCTGACACACGAGCAGTCCTTCAGCCAGCCCTAAATCCACTCTAGGCAATTTGTGAACTTGGTGTCTTCAATATTCTTTCTCCTCATGAAACTAAGTGCAACTGTTAGAAGTCCCGTAAATATCACTATACTATTGTCTAGGAGGGAGACAAGTGTTAAGGCTTCCATGGGGCCCAGATCCATTTTGGATTGAAGCTCCTTTAAGAATCCCAGGACCCTCTGGACTGATTAGGATCTCACACTCCACATCTTTGGCCACCATATGTCATTAGCCTGGCTCCTTTTTGCTTTGACTTCTCTAGGGAACCCTGCTTTTATACTAGAATATTGACAGTCTGCTTTTCTCCTAGCAGAGCGGGCACTTGAGGGCAGATTCCATTACTGGGGAGAGGAAAAAGGCTAACTTGATAAGCAAAGCAGTCTCTGGTAGATGGTGCAGATGGGGTGTAGGAGGTTTGCAGGTGGCCGTGCCATGGAGGTCCAACAAGAAGTAACAAGTGGAACACTGGCAACAGGTGGGGCTCCAGAGGGCATTCGGGGAGTCTGACAGATCCGGGCAGGCAGGCAGCAGCCTGCATCAAGGATTGCTGACAACACAGAGGAAATAAAGATTAATCACACTCCTGGGCACCACATTATCTGTCCCAGGTGCTTTGCCCATCATTGGCTCCTGGGATCCAGAGTTTTGGAACACAGGATCATTGGCAGTTGGTGGAGTCTAAATTATGCATGCATTCTTTGACTTATAGCTTGTAGACATCACAATTCCATTCTTTACACTTTTTACAGGAGCTTTGTTTACATTTGAATGGGAGATCTCACTGATTAAGGTGAAAGCTAGGAATAGTGAGAAGAATTTAGAGAGAGGACATAGGGAGTCTTCCCCCTTATGCATTATAAATCTTAAAACATTATGTTCAGGGATAAATAATGAGGCAAGAAATAGATACCTAAACAGATTGGTTTTTCTTGAGTAAGCATGTGTGTCTTCTAGTGTCAGCATTTGATTGCTTTGGGGGTTGTGCAGAATGCTCCGTGTACATCATCATCACTGTCTTTCCACATTATCTAATAATCGTCTATTCATGGATCTGTCCCCCACACCAGACTGAACTCTTTGTGGATAGAAACTGAGTCTTATTAATCTTCGTCACTTAGCAGTGATGAATAGTAAAGGTTCATCCTTTCTCTAACAAGCATGTGCTATTCTAGAAGTTCTTTGAATTAGAAATTTCTTTGTAGCAAACATTATGTCTTTCTTTTCTAGTGTAAGTAGGAAGTAACTCAAAACGGTACTAACAGGCATTTAGTGACTGTTGATGATGCTAATAATGACATCTAGTTTCTATGGCAACATGCACTTATCCTTACAGTGTTTCCTGGATTATGTGAAATTTGGGGAAAAAATACACACATCTTCCCACATTGTGAGAAGATCTTTTGTATTACAGTATTTTTGTTCACCTCATCTTTTTTCTAAATATGTTTATTCTAAGTAGTTGAATCAATTATCTATATACTGTAGACTATAATGATGTCAAGGTTAAGAATGGTACTGGGGTTTAAGAATGGCACTGAAGCAGAGAATAAGAGAGGTGACTTGGTAAAAACATATGGATGAAAACCCTATTTTTAGCACATATTTCCTTTTTTTTTTCCATCTTCTTCCTCTGATTCTCACCAACTCAACTAAATCCAACTTTCTTTAAACCTTGAAATCACTTCAATTTCTGTATGGACCATCCTGAAAACTGCGAAAGGGAGATCTAAGCTATTTCTAGAATGTGTCCGTCCAGGATGGCTTCTCAGCTGGTATGTACCAATGCAGCTGCACTGGTTGTTAAATACTGAAATACTCCCGAACTGGTTGGTCACTCTCACTTCCATTCCTCAGCCAGCCACTGCTCTTCTCTGGGGACAGTCTCAGCTAACAAACTTTTATACATTCTTCTAAGGACAGAAAGACAGTCTAACATTATTTAGACAAACAAAGAAATATATGTTCTTTTTCTTCCCCACACCTGAGAGCATATTATGCATACTGCTCTGCACCTTGCTATTTTTACTTAACAGTATATCCTAGAACTCCTTCTATAGCAATTCACGGAGATCTGCCACATTTAATAGCTAGAGAATATTCCATTATATGGATGACTCATGTATCAGTCAGCTTTTGCTGGGTAACAAACAATCACAAAATATCAGCAGCATATAAAAATAAGCATCTATTTGTCTCTCATGCATCTTACAGGCAGACTGTGGGTTCTCTGCTTCAGATTGCAAGTTGATAGATCAGCCGAGACAGTGTTGCCCCACATGGAGGGCAGTAGGTACGAGGGTATGTTAATCTCATGGTGATGACAGGTGCATAAATAAATGAGGTTAATCATTTAAGCTCATTTCAAGCCTCTGCTCACATTACACATGCTAACATCTCATTAGCCAAAGCAATTTACATGGCTAAGAGCGTAGTTAAGAAGTGAGGAAGTTTACCTTGCCCACCTTAAGGCCATGGCAAGGACATGGATATGTGATATTACTACAGGTGAAAGAATTGGAACAGATAGTCCTGTCCATCATAAATCCTATTTTATTTTACCAGCTCTCTATTGATTGACATTTCATTTGTTTCCACCTTTTGCTTCTTTAAATTCCAACTCTGAGCTCCTATTCCACCAAAACGATGAGGATTTACTCTACCTTTATTAAGACTTACCCTAGCCTCAGCATGGTTCCCTGGCACCAGGATCATGTGCAAGTCAGAATTCGGAGAAGTCCCTCTGACTCTCCATTACTGGTCCCTACTGGTTACCAATGTAGGTACGGTCCAGGGAACATCTTCTTTTTAGGACCTGTGCCACTACTTTGTGTCATAGGACTCTTTGGCAAGGCTTGGACCCTGTGCTTCAAGTTCAATATCCAATAGCAGTCACTTTCCCCACAAATGCTTTGATATTAATAGATGTGAGTTAGCAAAAGTGGAATCTTTTTGAACACATGTTTTTCAGAAAAGAAAATACAATCAAATATTTGAGTTCCTTTTTCCGTTTTGCAACAGAGCATGTTAGGTAGTTTTAGGGCTGCAAAGATATTCAGATAGGATCATAGGAAAAGAAAGTAAGGTCTTATAAGTTTGCTGTGGGTATACAAGCATCTACACACTGGGTGAGTTTCTCTGTGTCTGAGAGAGATATTACTCCATAGCATACGTCCCGTCCGTCCATGCATTTCCAAGACTGTACAGTCTCTATAAAAGAGAAATTGGGAGGCAGAATATAAAGAAATTGTTACTGTAGCAGAATGCTATAACCAAACATAACTTCAGACTTTTTCAAGTACATGGCTACCTGCTTAGAGTTCAGGAAATTATTCTGCAATAACAGAATAATTTCTCTAAGAAGGAACGTTCACTCATTGATTTAACCCTTTACTAATTCTTTTTTTTTTTAAATTATTTAAGACCTTTATTAACAGGTGCTTGCAGCTTGTTGACTTTTTTGAAAAATTCAAGTTGTAAACTTTTATTACAAATTAAAAATGAAGTTCTTAAAAATCTCAGCTTGACCAGATATGAAACAACTTTAAAACCTTTAAAGGTGCATTGAGAGAAAGCAGGCTTAAAAAAAAAAACAAAACACGTTTATTATTACCAAAAAAGACATCTTTAGGCAAAAATAATAAAAACCCCATGCTGCTTAGGTAATGCAAATAGTTCTAGTTATCTGGCCAACGGGCAAAAAACAACCAAACACTTACCCTCTTCAGCTCCGATCTTTTGTTCATTTCTTGTTGCTGGCATTTCACATTCATTTCTTCTTCTTGGACAAACTAAACCAGACAGGGGTAGCAATGGGTAAGCCGGAGTTTGCTCAGCCCTGCCCTGCTCAGCCTCAGAGTTGCTGGATCCGCTGCTCGTCTCTTTGCCATCTTGTGGTTTAGGGTTTTCTGGGCGTCTAACTGAAGTTGCTGGGTACCAAAATCGAGGCGGCTCTGACCTTGGGTCTCGTCTCCTTGATTCTGTTTGTCCTCTTCACTGCCGTCCTCTCTGGGCTGCCTTTGGCAGGAGGGCCCTTGCGGAATCGCGGTCCCTAATCCGGATACATACTCCGTCCTACCTGCCTGCCCTGTTCTCCTGCAGCCAGGTTGTCAGCGCCCTCCCCCACCCCTCCCTGCACAGGAGGGTGGAGTGCTGCGGCCGCGCCCCCAGGGTCTCCGCACGTCGCAAGGTGGGGACCTTCGCCTGCGCTGCGCGGCCTTGCTGGCCTGGCCCCACTCTCGCGTTCCTTTCCCCCCCTCTCCACCCTGGTCATTCTGCTGAGCAATGGCGCGGAGGGCCTCGCCACGTGGATCGCGTCTATAACGGTCACGGCCTGCCACGCTTTGCTGCCTCGACCTGGAACTCCGCCAGGGCCTGCGACCTTCGCCGCCCCCACCCTTTCCTCCTCCTCCAACTCAAACTCCACGGCCTCCCCCTCTCCCACCCTGCGGAGGCACTTGCTGGGGTTATTCTTTGTGGCTGGCTGGCGTACAAAGACATCTTCCTTGCTGTCATTCCTGCTGATGAAACCATACCCGTTTCTTACGTGGAGCCATTTCGCTGTTCCCAAAACCTTCCTTGCGATGACCTTGTCCCGGTAGGCAGGTGCCCCAGATGCGAGGCCGCCTGGGACATCGCTCCCTGCGCCCCTGCAGGTGTGCCGGGCTTGGCATCCGCAGTGCCAGGGGCGGCTGCTGGTCTGGCCTCCTGCTCCTGGTGGCCGGGAAGGTGACAGGGGAGGGCTGTGACAGCTGGAGCTCCTCGCGATGTGTGATGGTGACTCGGCCAGTGGCGGCGGTGGGGCTGCACAGGGCTCTCTGGGCCCGCTCCATCCATCCCTTTACTAATTCTGTTTTTTTTGAGACAGAGTCTCACTCTGTTGCCCAGGCTAGAGTGAGTGCCATGGCCTCAGCCCAGCTCACAGCAACCTCAAACTCCTGGGCTCAAGCGATCCTCCTGCCTCAGCCTCCCGAGTAGCTGCGACTACAGGCATGCACCACCATGCCCGCCTAATTTTTTGTATATATATTTTTAGTTGGTCAATTAATTTCTCTCTATTTATAGTAGAGATGGGGTCTCGCTCTTGCTCAGGCTGGTTTTGAACTCCTGACCTCGAGCAATCCGCCCGCCTCTGCCTCCCAGAGTGCTAGGATTACAGGCGTGAGCCACCACCACCGGCCCTTTTACTAATTCTGTGTTGAGCATTTAAGGAAGCCCCAGCACTGGGGCTGCAAAGGCGAGAAGGAGGCCTCTCTCCCTCAGAGAGCTCAGTGTGCAAAGGGGGGAGTGAACAAGCAGGCGGAGCTCGGTCCCACAGGGCGAGGACAAATGCAGCGACAGGACTGGCGCTGGGCATGAAGTTGGCACAGAGGAGGGGTACTGAGGCAGGCGAGGGCAGAATTCACATAAAAGGGAGACGTCGGAACTGAGTTTTGGAAGATAAGCAGGAATCCATCAGCAGGACAGTGGAGGAAGGGTGCCCCAGGCATTCATGCTAGGAGGATGATGATGGAAGGACCTCGAAACAGCAGGGCAGGTTGGGGAGCAAGAAGTAGTGAGATTGGCCGGAGATTAAGATATGAGGAGAGTGACTGGGGGCAACATGAGTGTGAAAACATGAGTGTGGATTCCATCGTAGAGCTTAGAGCAGGGGAATAACATGAATGAGCGTGTTTGGGGAAGACCACACCGGAAAGTGTGCAGGATGGGTTGGCAGGAGGCCTGGAGAAGGAGCAGGAGATTACGGTAACATCCCAATGGGAGTTAAGAGGTTTGAGGGGAATGTGGATCCCAAAATGACTGAACCTGACATTTTTTAGCAAACCCCATCATGCTGCTTTCCCACGTGCAATCCTTTAGTAGCTCCCATTGCCTTTAGGACCCAGTATAGGCTCATCAGCTGGTCATAACACATCTTTCCTTTAAGTGCCTTCAACTAGTCTTCCTACTATCTCCCAGTTTGCATCTATGCTGAAGGTGTATTTAAGTGTCTAAACCTTTCTGGTTTACCTGGAGTAAGTAACTCCTTCCTCACCTGATGAACTTATGTGTTTTTTTTTTTTTTTTTTTTTGAGATGGAGCCTTACTCTGTTGCCCAGGCTAGAGTGCCCTGGCATCAGCCTAGCTCACAGCAACCTCAAACTCGTGGGCTCAAGCAATCCTTGTGCCTCAGCCTCCCGAGTAGCTAGGACTACAGGCATGCGCCACCATGCCTGGCTAATTTTTCTATTTTTAGTTGTTTGGCTAATTTCTTTCTATTTATAGTAGAGATGGAGTCTCGCTCTTGCTCAGGCTGGTTTCGAACTCCTGACCTCGAGCAATCTGCCTGCCTCAGCCTCCCAGAGTGCTAGGATTACAGGCATGAGCCACCACGCCTGACCAAGCTTATGTTTATATTTCAAATCTTACTTTAGACATCTCTGTCCCTGGAAAGTCACCTCTGGCCTAGGTGATGGCCCATGTGCTCCAGGACACCTTGGGTTCCTCTTACCATTGCATTTAGGTCGCTGTATTGTAAACTGAATTGCCAGAGTAGACAGCGAGCACTTTGAGGACAGGAGCTATGTCTTTTATCTCTACCTCTCCAGCCCTAGAACAATTCAGGGCTAATTGAGTAGGCTCTCAATTAATGCTTCTGAGTGGAGGATTGAAGTAGTTCAGTCATGCCTGGGGCTCCTTCTGTTCAAGTTCTACCTTTACTGGAATTGTTTCAATACCTTAGAGAAATGTGATGTTGAAACTTAGAAACTTGGATCTGAGGAAATGAGTCGGTACATGTAGCATTGCTAATAGGTCCAAATCTAAGAGGAAGCATCTGCCTCAGGTCTTGGCAGATTTTCTTGCCTCCCTCTAATCTGTTCTTTTATCCAGCAGATGTCTGGGTACTGCAACGTCAAGATGATTAATAACTCAAGGATTGGGGAGGGGAGTATTTTGTACTTCTTACCAGTACTTTGGACTTGAATCTTTCCATCCCCACGTGTGGCATCAATTTTGTTTTCTTCTGTTGAGGTGTATGTTTATGTAGCTTTAACTATGAGTAACTGTCAAGAATATATAGCCAGTAGTTATAGAAGAAATGATAGGTGGGCTAGTATCCCAGAAACCAGCAGAGAAGAAGGGAAACCAGGAGTCAGATCAAGTGAGAGGACATTTAGAACATGAAAGTTTGTTGGCTTAGGTGGGATCTGAAAACAAGAAGAAAGCAGCCCAATGTGTTGAGGTTGCCTTTGGTTAATCTCCTTATTGGTTTGGGCAGTGATTCCAAATGTATGACCATGACGGTCTGTGAGACCTTGGAATGACTGTAAAGGAATTGAAATCCAAATGAAAACTTGTATCTTCTCAATCAATACGAGTAAAAATACAATTACTGGCATATGAGGGTTTCCATAGTTAAAAGATTGGGAATAGATCTTGATGAACCAGTAGTGTTCATCCTGGGGTGGGAGGTCTAATTTTATATTTATATAGTACCATATGATATTCAAAGATCTTTTTTTGTTTGTTTTGTTTTGAGACCGAGGCTCGCTTTGTTGCCCAGGCTAGAGTGAGTGCCCTGGCGTCAGCCTAGCTCACAGCAACCTCCAACTCCTGGGCTCAAGCAATCCTCCTGCCTCAGCCTCCCGAGTAGCTGGGACTACAGGCATGTGCCACCATGCCTGGCTAATTTTTTCTATATATATATATTAGTTGGCCAATTAGTTTCTTTCTATTTATAGTAGAGACGGGGTCTCGCTCTTGCTCAGGCTGGTTTCGAACTCCTGACTTCGAGCAATCCGCCCGCCTTGGCCTCCCAGAGAGCTAGGATTACAGGCGTGAGCCACCGTGCCCGGCCAAGAACTGTTTTTTTTCCCTGCATTAAGACAGACTTAAAATTGTGTTATTGAAAATTTATTTTGAGAACAGATACAGGGGATAATTGAAAAGGTTACATTCCCAAGGTCGTTGGTTTAAGAATGAACTTCAAACTTCCATTCAAGTACGAAAGAAGAGAGTGGATGTGACACACGTTTAATAAAAAATTTATTGCCTTTCTTTATTCATTAGAATATTTATGCTAGGCAGTAGCATACTAAAGAATGCGTAATTCCCACAGGGAAATTTTTATCTATTGGACCCAAATTGTGTTAAAGTAAGCAATTAAAAATTGACC